AGTATTGGAAGAACTAGGAGGAGAACTATTGTGTGCAGGAAAGATGATGAATTGGGGCTTGAATGTGTTGAGTTTGAGATGTCTGTGGGAATGCCTAGGTGGACCGATTGAAGCGTGGACCCAGGACCCACAGCGTCAGCACCACCTGGGAGCTTATTACAAATGCAGAAGCAGAGGCCCACCTGACCCCCTGGATCAGAAGCTGTAGTTGGACAAGTCCCCAGGTGATGTGTGCACATATCACAGGGAGAAGCAGGCTCTAGTCTAGAAGTTAGCTGGGTATATGCGCTTGACTTTCAGGAGAGGGGTCTGCGCCGGGAGTAGAAATGTGGATGTTGTCAGTTACAGGTGATGGTTGTAGATGACACATTTCTAGGGTTCCCGTGTAGAGTTGGGAGACTGGGTATGGTGTCTGCTTGAATCATCGCACTGACTGATTAGGGTTAACATCGCCATCGCAGAGTTGCACAACATCACACAGAATGAGCCCCTGGATGGCAGCCAGCGTGTTGTGAGGAAAATATTTGATGTGCTTAGTACCCTTTCCAAAATGTTATTTGCAGCCTTTATCTCAAGAAACAACAATTTCCCCAGACACCCTTGGTAGGTCATTGGAAGAACGGACCCCAACCTGGGGTCAGAACGTTTACTGTTGTGTTCTTGTTATTGAGCCATGCTGTGGGGGGAGGGACTCTGCATTTACGTGTCAGGGCTGGAGATGTGAACAAGCAGGAAAAAGTCACACATGATGTTCACAGAAGTTGCTCAATAAAAGCTTGTTAAAGGCTGTTAAACAAATCATGGAAAACATGATAAAAACTGCTTTCAGATTCCAAAAAATGCATTTCTATCAGTAACCTCAATTTGATCTTTACAACATCATTGTAAGTAGATAAGAAGGGAAATTATTCAGTCTTTCATTAAAAAAAAGAAGAGCTTTATTGAGATGTAATTAACATACCATAAAATTCACCATTTAAAGTGTATAATTCAGCTGTTTTTAGTATAATCACAAGGTTGTGCAATTATCATCACTAATTACAGAACATTTTAATCACCCCCCAAAGAAATGTTATACCCTTTAGCAGTCACTCCTTATTCTTCCCTCCCCCAGCCCTTGACAATCACTAATCTACTTTTTATCTCTGTGGATTTGCCTGTTCATTCTGGACATTTCATATAAGTGACCTTTTGTGTCTGGCTTCTTTCACTTAAAATGTGTTTGAGGTGCAACTATATTATAGCATATATCAATACTTCATCCCTTTTATGGCTGAATAATAATCCATTCTATGGATATACTGTATTTTCTTTATCCATGATCAATTGATAGGCATTTGGGTTAAGTTTTGTGTGGATATGTGTTTTCATTTCTCTTGGGTATATACCTAGGATTGGAGTTGCTGGGTCATATGGTAACACTACAGTTCACTTTTTGAGGAACTTCCAGATAGTTTTCCGAAGTGGCTGCACCATATTCTATTCCCACCAGGAATGTATGAGGGTTCCAGGTTCTCTGCATCCTCTCCAACGCTTGTTATTACCTGTCCTTTTTATGATAGCCATCCTAGTGGATGTACTCTTATTTTTTAGGTAAGAAAATTGAGAGTGCATTATTGGCCAAAGTTGATAGTTTTGCAATGACTAAGCCAGAACTTTTTTTAAAGCAAATTTTTGTATGATGCATGCTGTGCAAGGGATTATTTAAATCTATTGCTCTTATTAAGCTGTTTACTCTTTACAACAACCTGTAAGGAAGATACTGTTATCATCTTTATTTATAAATGCATACAGGGCCTGGACTGGGCCTGGAGTCAGGCCCTCTGATGCAGAACTTAAGAAGAGATCACTCTCAGGTTCAACTAGCACTTGTGTGACCCTGTGTGCTTCACTGGCCCAGTCCTGGCACTGTTTGCAGAAATGAAGGCATCGAGGACGGGGTAACTTTCCCAAAGGTTCAGTAATTAGTAAGTGGCAGCAGTGGGATATAAACCCAGGAACCCAAGCTTTAGAGTCTGAGTCCTTAGCCACTGTGCTACGCTAACAGGTATGTCTTTGATCTCCAAACTAGGCTTTTTCTCTTTGTTTCTTCAGGCTTCACTTTCTGAAATTAGCCAGAGCTTTAACAAGTGGGGAAGCCAAAGTAGAATTCCGGAGATGGGATATGAGGAGACCAAGCAGAAGTAATCAACCTAACAGCCCCCCAGGCACCTACCGCATGGACCCCTGAAGGGTTAACTGGCCACACAGCTCCCCTCAGCTACAGCTGTGCTTATTATTTCAACTCTATAAATCTTGTTCATGTAGACTGCTCTACAAGTGGCCAGATGGACTCTGTCCTGGTGGGGAAGAGGCCATTCTGAACCGTCAGGGTAATTAGCTCTGACCGGCCGCAAGGAAAACACGTTCTCTTGGCCAAGTGAGGCTGCATCCGTGGTGTGGCTAATTGTTCTGAGTCAAATATTCAGAAATTACATCTCTCATAATCATACCGTAATTGGCAGCCTATTCTCTTTCGCCTGCTTCTCAGAATTAGCTGGTTATTTGTTTTCAAATCATTATCTTTCAAACGGTTTTGCTACTTTTGGGGGTTTTGAATGGTTCTCGGGCTTAGGCAGAGCCCCCCACAAGGCAGTGTGAATACAAAAATATACATTTGCTCAGTGTATGTGTTCCCCCCTCAGGAGTAATGGGCAGCCTTTGGAAAGATGCTTACACATGTCCCCAGCCAACAGCAGGTTCACCACCTCCTCAGCTCCCCAGGAGTGAGGTCCAGTCAGTCTGGGTCCAGCAGCCCTCACTGGGCCCGCTGCAGCAGTCTCGGCCAGGCCAGAAGAGTTTTATACACATCACAAAGACAGAGGATTGTTTTTTGTGTTTGTTTTTTAGTTTATACCTGTCTTTCTCCATGAAACATGATAAATTTTGCTGTTGAATTTTCACCTTTTTGTTTGGAATGTCTATTCTGTCCTATGACTATTTCTCTAAGTTGTGGGTCTGTGGATGAGCAGCACGAGCATTAGCTTGGAGCTTGTTGGAAATGCAGAACCTCAGGCCCCACGCCAGACCCCCTGAGTCAGAACCTGCCTCTTAACAAGATCCCTGAGTGATTCCTGTGCATGTTCAAGTTTAAGAAGCCCTGCTCCATGTGGCTTTATTTCTCTGTTTCATTCATCTGGGGTCCTTCACCCAGTACTGACTTTGAGGCTGGGATTTTTGGTAGGCTTTCAGATTTTTTAGAAAAGGAAAAAGATACACACACACACACACACACACACACAGAAATTCTTTCCTTTGCCTTCGCATGATGTCATTCATTTTACCTGGCCTGCCACAAGAAAGAAAAAGGCAAATTACATTCAAGTTATATATATATATATATATATATATATATATATACACACATATATATATATATATAAATTTTTTTAAGGCTAACTTCTTAATTGCATCTCTTAAAGCAGCATGCTAGATTCCCCCATCATTAACAGAATCCCAAGTGTTGCCAAGATTAATTGAGAAATGCCTAAAGGTAAAATAAGCCCTATAGCATAGTTTAATTCAAAACCATATCAACGAAGAATGAAGGTGCAATTAGTGATAAAGATGTTAATAATTAGTTGTGGTCTGTTAAATTTTATATTCAGTGGTTATGTACAGTGAAGAAAGAATTTCCTCATGAGGGCAGAAATTAATGTTTCACCTTGATTGCTGTTTTAATGTGCTTATTTTAACGGGGCCATCTTGTAGAAACCCTTGGGCACCTTTCCAATTTTACGTAAAAGTAGAATTAATTATTATGGAAGCATATAATTTTAGAGCTGGAACGACCTTCACAGTCATTTCATCCAGCTCAGTCATTTTAAAAATAAGCAAGAGTTACATGGCTTACTTAAGTCCTTCCATAGAATATTGGAACCAGTGCTTCTTGAATCTTAGACCAGTGATGGTGAAACTTTCTCAGATCCCTCCAAAGTGCTTCCTCTTGCCTCAGAATTCCCAAAGCACCAATTTTGTAATGCCTCCAAAGCCTTTATCCCACCCTGCCTTATGTTACAGTTGCTTTCAATTGTAAGGTTGAGGTGCTGGAACCATGTCTGGTCTATTTCTATGTTTTGCAAAGAGTAGTTGCATAATAAATGTACGTGCAGTGGTAAATGTGCTGAAGCTGGTTTTTCCTTCCTCCCTAGAGCTGATTGTGTCTTCACAATGGCAGCTTGAAATTAGCCATGGCGGGAGTACTTATGCTATGGGGAATGGAAAAGTGCTACAAATCAGAGCTTTTTACCTCCAGAAAGCCAGTTGTTAAACACTTCCCAACACACCATTGTTTGTATGATTTTCATAAGGTCTCACAAAGCAACAGGTGTCCACAAAATCTAAACGTCCACACTCGTGTGAAGGTGACGATGTACCCAGTGTCTCAGCCTCCTAATTTCTTCAGGGATTAATTTGACCCAGTGCAAGTCAGGCCTAGGACTGCATGAGAATTGGTTGCTTAGCTAAGTCCTACTTACCCAGAAAAGCTATTTGGGCATGAATGATAATGGAAACAGAGTCTGAAATATCAGGCACAGTGAATGACAAAAACCCCCACAAACTATTACCGGAAAAAAACTGAAATTGGAGGAAGTTACTGTGGCTGAAAGTACTCCTTAAAAGACCTTCAGTGGTTCCCTCCAATTTATAAAAGTACCCCAGCTCCCTGACGTAAGTCATGTACTGACCACAGCTTCCCGACCTAAACTCATTTTCATCCACTCCCATCACCTATAGTTGATTCCCATCTTCATTCTACTTCCTAGCCTCTGTAGAGCCTCGTTCCAGCCTCTGTGACATTCCCTTCTCCTGGAAAGCCCGCCCTCTGCCTCCCTGTTGCACCGCAGGCTCGCTCCCAGGCTTCTGTTCTCATCCAGTCCCCTCTACCATGGACCAGAGCTCTGGGTGAAGGTGAAAATCCCTATCACTGTTCATCTCCTTTCTTGTGTGTCTCTCTGTAGGAGCAGGACCCGAGGTCCCATCGGCCCTGGCAAGTACGGCTATGGGAAGGCCCCGTACATTTTACCACTGCAGACGGACTCCACACACTCACCACAGAGGCTCCGGAGGGAGAGGCCCTCAGTCCGGCATTCCAGGTCCCAGGGGCCATCTGGTCCCAGCCATGGCTATAACCCGCCAGGCCACCGGGCCTCCCAGCATGGACCTCTGTACCAGAGTGACAGCGGCCCTCGTTCTGGACTGCAGGCCTCAGAGGCCTCCATCTACCAGCTGCCTTTGACCAATGACCAAGGCTTCCCTGCAGCTTCAAGCCTGTTTCACAGCCCTGAAACAAGCAGCAACCATGGCATGGGAGCCCACAGGGCAGCACCGAGCTTCTCCCAGCCCGCCCGATCCACGGCAATCTCCTGCATCGGGGCCTACCGCCAGTACAAGCTGTGCAACCCCAATGTGAGTACACAAGGCACCATCCGGGCCTGGGGTGGGTACCGTCTTACCTTCCTGTGGGCTGGCGGGAAACATGCGGAAGACAGCGAGAGCATGGTTTTTTAGGTCATGTTAATGCACTTTTATCTGCCTTCCCTCTCATTTCTCTCCATTTATTCTCCTCATGTACTTTTTTATATAAGATTATTACTTTAGTAATTTAGGAATAACTTCTTGACAATCTATTGCTCATATCAAACAACAATATAACTATTGCTGCATATCAAACAACTTCCAAATTCTTAGTGGCTTTATTTCCACACCATTCTTTGCTGCATGGGTCTATGGGTCAAGTGTGGTTTGGTTAATTTAGGGCATCCAGTGGTAGCGCCAAATAAGTGGGAGTTCTGGGTGGTTGACAATCCCCACTAGCATGGGGATTGTCCAGGAAGTTCCCTGGAGGGTCCCTGCTCTGCCAGGCATCAGCACTTTGGACGCAGCACCATGCAAGAGTCTGGTCATCTGTCACTTGCTGAAGATTCCACAGCTAATGAGTAGCAAAGGAAATTGTAAATGGAAACTACATAAGGTGACCAAATGTGTTTTTGTTAAATATCGGTGTAAAGACTATATATAAAAAGAAAAGGGAACAGAGAATGTTTAAAGGTCAAATTTCCAAGTTGCTATATTTTTCATTAATAATTTAATCTGCCTTAATACTCCGTTACTGGGTAACAGGACAGCTGTTATATATTAGCTTCAATTTCCTCATTAAAAATATATTTCCTGCTGTAGAGTCCATAGAAATGACTTAATTTGTGATTTTAATAATTCCTCCGAATGCCTGGATTACTTTTGAGCTTGTCCTTCCACTGACAGGCTTCAAGACTTATTCATTTTTTGTAAAGCAGTAATTTTTCTAAAGCCATTACTAATCAGTCAACCAGTAAGTCTTAATTGAGCGTCATTGCTTGTCTTGTAACAGACCAGGCACCATGGAAGATAAAAGTTATATTCTCTACCTCACAGAGTTGTTATGAGGATCATAAATCAAAAAGAAGCATTCATGTCTGTGATCAGACATGGTTCCTGTTCTCGAATATCCATTGCAATCCTTTTAGAATGAAATGAATTAATTTCTAATGGAGAACACATTCCCCCATTGAGTAGCCCATTTTTTAATTTTGCAGACCAAGTAAATCATAAAGAGAAGGGAGAAGGGAGGGGGCGTTTCACATATGTGCAGACCTGCTATCTGCTAAGCATTTCTTTCATGTAACCTGCATTTTTTTAAGCCGTGTGCTGTTTCCAGACTTCTGCTGCCAGGAGCAGGGCCGGCTCTCCCCTTGCATCAGCTGTGGCTTCTCTGGTTGCTGGGATAACTCCACTACTGAGGAGACTGAATTGCAGTGAATTGTAGGAAATTCTTGGGAATTCATGATGTCTGCTCTCATTTTGCAAATAGGCAAAACCATGTGTCAAAGCCAGGACAAAGGAGTGAATGTTGACAAAGGATCATACAGGTTTAATTCCCTTCTCTGCTGTCACCTTTTGCACAGTGTCCTCCCCAGGGCATCCTATCACCCCAAGCCACATCCTCCATACTGTTTCTGAGAGGCAGCATTCCTCAGAGGCCCTGTTACTGCATATCTCCTCTTTATAAGCTCATGGCTTCTTGTGACTTGGGCCATGCCATATGAATACTTTAACCCTCCGTTGGGTTCACCTGATCTCACAGATTCATTGCCCACAAAGATGCTGCTATGAAATATATCTTTACTGTACTAAGTCACAAACATGACTGGCGATAGGTTACGGTAGAGGGGAAAGATACGGAAGCGATGAGTCACGATACTGAAGTTAACTATTAGATATTTGAAAATTTGTATGCAATGAACTTATGAGCTCAGTTGCTCCCAATGGAGGGTTAAAACTCCCTGTGTTAGGGATACCCCAAACCACTCCTAAGCTCTGTGATTTGCCAGGAGGACTTACAGGACTCAGTGTATGGCCATACACACAGCTATGATTTATTACAACAACAGGATATTGTCATGCCGGGGCTCAAGTCCCGGCAGATGAAGGCAGGATTTGGTGAGGCCCAAAAGAAACAATGGAGCCACAGATAGGGGTTCATACCACTATATTATATTCTTGATGACGGCTGGTTGAGACACAAGAAGCAAACATCCATCAATACCCCAACAAGGGATTTTCCGGCATCACAGTCTCGCTGGCGGCCTGGCGAGACACAGGAAGTAGAATCCGCAGGACCTGCACCATCCGTGACCTCTGTACCTGCTAACGCAGCCACGGCAGTTACAGTAATACCTTGGCTTGAGAGCATAATTTGTTCCGGAAACAAACTACTCATATTGCAAGACGTGTGTTTACCAAGTTAAAATGTATTAGAAATGTTTGCTCATCTTGCAGAACACTTGCAAACCAAGTTATTCGCAATCCAAGGTTTTACTGTATATGCAAAACAATAGTAGCTAATGGCCAGCTGTTTACAGCTGATAGCCATCTAATAAGCCAGCACCTTTCCACATGAGGCTGAGAGCCTGGAAACTGCCCTCCTGGCCCTTTCCCAACAGATATTAGAGGAAACTCAACAGACAGAAGGGCACATGGGGCCAAATGCAGAGGACAGCAGGCACCAGCTTCCCAGGCTCCCTTCCCAGTGGAGTCCACAGGATGCACTTAATCCCCCAGCAGCGAGCGTGACAACACATGTGAAGCGTTGTCAGCTAGGGAAGCTCATTAGAGACTTGGTGCCCAAGGTTTTTATTGGGGACTGGTCATGTAGCCACCCTCTGCCTGCTGTGCACGAAAACCCCAAGCTCCCAAAAGGAAAGTGGAGTTTTAGCATAAACTGTATTGCTTGTACATATGGCTTGGGCATACTGAGTCTCTCTTATCACTTAGGGACTGGTGGAAGCCCTTTGAAATCCAAGTTTCCAGATGCCAGCCAAGGACCAGCCTTGCAAACAGGCCTTCTAAGGAGAGCAACCCCAGTCCTGCTGTACGTCTTACTTTTACTCTCCCTGTGTGGACCCATGTGCTCCAGCATCTTAGCATCAGTGACCCCAAGGTCCATCGTGAGGAGATGACATGAATTCCCAAACTATGTAAATCTTTCTATTCCAAGAGGAATGAGGTGAAGGGCAATATTGTGAAAAAGCTTACTAATCTAACAGGGAAGACCGTCTCCAAAGATTAAAAAATAATGCATGCATTTAGAGGTCTCTCCCTGGGAGAAGAAAAATCAGGGAGAGTAGGCCGGGGGAAGGTGGGAAATATCCACTGATTTCAGAACTACGTCCTGGAAAGTAAGCACCCAGTTATCCTGTCCCAGGAATGCCCCCTTTCTGAGACCACTCCCTCCATAAAGGGCTCAGCTCTGAGGTGCTTGGTAGTGCACACTCGGGGTTGTCTGAACCAGGGGAAATGTTCTGGCAGGCTTCCATGTCTTGGAAGTGTCTCATCCCTGGTCCTGGTCCCTCCATCCACACCGGTATGACCCAATGGCAGAGAAGGCACTGCCTGCAGCTGTTGTAAGTCATTGTACTTAGTGCTGGGGCACTTAATGCGGGGGAGAGCTCTGAGAGCACAGAGCAGTCAGCCACAGGGCTGTAGAAGACTCCACTGAGGATGGGACAATTAAGCTGGGCTTCCAAGAATGGCCAAAAAAAGAGAAAAGAGCATTTGGGGGCAAAAGAAGCAGCTTTGTCAAAGACAGGAAGGCAGGATTGTGTCAGCATCTCAGGTGCTGCCATGCCTGTCGGGGGTAGGGACCCTCCTCCCTTCCCTCCCACCTCCTCCTATCCATTTTAAATACTCACAGTCTTGATGGGGAATTCATTCTTTAACATCTTGATGCACAGAACTGTCACATGGCCTTGCCTGACTTTCACACATGAGATAGATGAGTGAGAAATGGTGAGAGCTCAGAAAACAGCTCTAAACAACTGGTTAAATGGTATGATAGGCCTGCGAGGCAGTGTGGGAGAGTGGGTTTGGGAGTGAAGCAGAGCTGATGCAAACCTGAGCTGCAGCACTTGGGAGCTGAGTTTCGTAGCTCTCTGAGGACCACCTGTAAAGTGGGAACAATATTATCTGCTCCATAGGGTTGATGCGAGGGTCAGATACGTGCAGAGTCTCAGAATTGTGGATGAAATGGTCAGACTTCACTTTTGTCCTCTGGGTTAACTGTGGTCAAGGGCGCTTTCCCTTTGTCCAACAGTAAAACAAGATTGCTGAGAGACCCAACATTTCAGCTGTGATGTAGTTTCAATATAGTCACCTTGGGTCCTGTTTAAAGTGAGGAAAGTGAAACTATAGGTAACTTCATGTCAATGAATTCTTTATACCCTCGAATGTGCATATAAGGTCAAACAGTTAAGTCTGTGAACTCATCCTAGAAAAAGTGCTACCTACCTCATTGCTGAATATCACTACAGTCACCTTCAAAGTACTTCCCTTGGGAAGCTATGCACCAACGCCAGTATGCAGTCCACCCTTCAAAGCAATTTTGGAACTCTTTTTCTGGAACGGCCATCAGAGCTATTGTCATATTACCCTTGATGTCCTGAATGTCATCAAAATGTCTTCCTTTTCAATATTTCCTTTATCTTTGGGTAAAGAAAGAAGTCATTGAGGGCCAGATCAGGCGAGTAGGGAGGGTGTTCCAATACACTTATTTGTTTACTGGCTAAAAACTGCCTCACAGACAGTGCCATGTGAACTGGTGCATTGTCGTGATGCAAGAACCATGAATTGTTGGCGAAAAGTTCAGGTCATCTAACTTTTTCACGCAGCCTTTTCAGCACTTCCAAATAGTAAACTTGGTTAACTATTGGTCCAGTTGGTACAAATTCATAGTAAATAATCCCTCTGCTATCAAAAAAGGTTAGCAACATCGTTGCAACAAGTTCATGAACTTAATTGTCAGACCACATATTTACTATTAAGCTCTGCCTTATGGTGTCATGTGGGAATTGTAAGCATTCTATAGTGTCTTT